ATTGTTTCCCGAACATACATTGCATTGGGCCTCATTTCTTACTCTAAATTGTCATATTTAGGAATGCTCCTTAATGGTGATGTGAGACACATCAAGTATACGGCACCCGAGGGGCAATTATTGATTTTAAGTGGTGTACATGCGTGTATGCGTGTAACCATACAGCGGATTCCGGTCATATATGAACCATCCTTACATTTGTTATTGCTGGCAATCCCATCCAAAACCTTCACATTTTCAACTCGCCGTTAGTCCAGGAGATATTGTAGATGCATGCACTACTACAGAATACCAATGGAATATCGAGCATAGGGCTCCCTACTCTTTGAACTGTCCCATTCATCATATTTACCTAGAAATACCTACCCAGCGTAGATGGTTGAAATTTGGGTCACATGTCAATCAAACCCTGACTCCATGTGTGCTCTAAACTCTTCGATGTATTACTCATAACTTGTTTAAAGTGTTAGTCCATGTTTACATCACCCGACCTATCAACATATGAGTTATTAGTGTATGAATCAACAATATCTGGGGTTAGCATCACCGTGTTTCATATTCCTTTTACGGCTACGAGTGTTACTGTGTCCTGCTATTGCGGATGTAATGTCTGGTAGTTGAATACGCCCCATGTTAAAATTCATTGATATATGCTGCACGAAGCCAATTATATTATTACGTTTTCATTTCTATTTTACCCAGTTTTCTACAAGATGAAACTTAATCACTCTTAATTCATTGCTAAAGTGTTGGGGTAAACTGTACAAGGGCTGTTGAATACATACAGCAGTGCTGGGAATGCAAGTCCATGTTGTTGTTTTTCGGAAAAACTATGATGTCCAATATCAATAGCTTTATTTCTATTCATTTCTTTCAACAAAAGCGACAAATATATTGCATAAAACTAAGAAACATCTGCTGAAAAACCCTTCATGTTAGAGATAAAACAACGAGAAGTTCATGACTTCTTGAATTCTATGTTCATGTATGGTTACATCTACTTTAGTTTGAACGTTTTTAGAAAGTAATACTTTAAGTTTACTGTTGTGACATATGCTATTTTTTTTATTATACATTCTCAGTAAAGTACCGATTCTGATACTTTTGTCAGGTTAGAGTATCACCCAGGATACGAATCCACTCACAGGCACCTAATCGCTAGCACACAAAGTCAGCTATCTAACCCACTCAGCCTCCTGAAGCCTACTGTTGATATTTTGAACAAAAGCAACAAAATAATGACATTGTTCATAATATCAATAGTAATCATTTTTATATTTTACAATTATCAGTACATTGTACAATATTCCTATATGTTTTTGCATCATATTTACGTGTTATTTCTCTTGTTCAGCACTGCACGGATATAGTAGATAAACTCTGAAGCTGGGCACATTCCTCTTTAAATGGCCATTAGGCATTGAAGGAAGACCATTTTTTGACGCCATTAACAAACAGACAATTTAAGGGTATGTGCGCAAGCGTTATTAAGGTTTGTTTATACCCATTATACTCAACTTCATTTTCATGAATATATTCGTATTTGATTACACTTTATTCTATTTGTTCATCAAAATGAGTGAATTCGTTTACAGAAACTAAGCAAAAGGCGTTAAAGGCGGAATTTTATAAGTGTAACAAGTACATGAGAACCGATCTTTTAAACACGCTTTTGACTTTTTACAATAGTCAATGGCTGCGTGCTGGTGCAAATGTTAGGCATGTATGTGTATCTGTGAAACAATCAGCTATATATAAGACATCCTGTAAATACTTATGACTTCAACAGTTTTAGTGTTACACATTGTATATTTGATATATAATTTATAACTACAACATTGAAAGGATGATGTTTATCATCAATAATTCCAACTACACAATTACTGACGATCAGAAAGAGAAGCTTAACATGGACATTCTGTTACAATATCTTAAACTTAATGAGGATAATATAATATATTCAGATAAGTAAATCTCTCTACAAAATTGCCTCTGAAATGATTTTCAAACACACACTTTAGGTTAACATTTGAAATAACAATAGAATGGAACTAATATGTGTCAGCAACGATAAGCAAAAGATCCCATGAATTGATATTAGTCGTATTAGTTGAACGAGGTGGACTTTGGTGGACCGAAGTTCAGCATCAGTTCCGTAGCATTCATTGATGATGTTGAGTCACACATAAAAGACGTATTGGTCCCGAAAATACCAATATGACAAAATAATATGTTTAAAACGATATTATTCTTAAATGTTTTCTCTCTTTATCGGTTAAATACTTCTGACACTTTAATGCCTGGTTTCTTAAATGCCAAAGTCTATTTAACATTATTTGAGCCTGTACTTTACCCTTAATAGAAATGGAAGTCTAATGTGGATACTGGTTATTCTCAGACGATGACGTTATACATATATATTCAATTTAAGTAGCAGGGGGCATGAATCTCCATTGTCAACATTTACAACCCTAACAGCAGTATTGTGGTCCAATCTTATCCACCACTTTCTCTTTAGTGTTTTATACTCACAATCTGATGTCACTCACAACGTAGGTTGCACGAACTACTCTTACAACAAAGGTACTTCATTCAGCAGATTCTCACATCTGGATAAATATTGTGTGGTCAACTATGGTGGTTTTATGTTCCTTTTACTCATTCGGGAAATATTTCTGGTTAATGCCTTTCTTAAAATGAGATGAACATTTCCTTTTCGGCAAATGATCGGTATGCGAAAGGAGATCTATGTTTCCTTATAGTTTGATGAAGCGGTACAAGTAATGACATTGTCGGGTTTAATTGTGACTTTGTCCCGGGAGGGTCTCTACAGAAGTGAAATCAACAGAGTGATGTGAAGATGTAGGAATAGTTTCCCGTTTCCGACTATAATATCTGAACCTCTCTGCACATTCCCCACACATCATGGTCAAATTCACAGTTCGCGAGGAATCACGACAAACGAGGTATAATCTGTATACAGACAGCAGTGCGGGAAAACAAGGGGAAGTTACAGGCTGATATTTTAATCACTATTTACGGTCGTTACAAACCCTTCCAGAACTGATAGGATTTTAATGACGATAATCTGATCTCACGGCAATAGTATGCAGATCACGTCAGGATCTTCACTTCAGTCCGTTGATCGCGAGGGCTCAATGGTTCCACATTGTGTTTGATTATGACACTTGCAGTTGTTAAGCTGTCAAATAGCTGTCGTAGTCAAGCAACCACAATATTTTGTTTACATCAAGTATTTATACAGCATAGAAAATAACCAACACGTTACCAGGATATTAGTGTACACATATCAGTTGACATCCTCATCACATATGCAATTTCACCTCATGACAGCCCGGGATCAAGAGCAAGAATTGATCTGGGAACCAATATAATTACAACCAGCTGTCTGTGGTTCACAATGTAGGACAATGTATATAACGGTTCAGATTACACTTCTAATACTTGCGAATTTAGAATGTTCATAATGTAGACATAGTTCATAGCAACAAGTCCTTTGACTTTATGACAACACTACGGCACATGAAAACCCCACATCAAACGTACATTGTTCTAGTGAATTGTGGGTCGTAGTTCAACTGACTTGTTCACCCGCGACTAAGTTAAGTTTCCGTGACAGTCTATGGTGCAACACGAGAGATGTGCATTGCTAGTGTGATGTGTCTCATATTCCACATGGTGGTAATGCAATTTACTGCATGTACAGATTATGACTTGTATCAAATTCTGTATTGGTCAGGCTCTGATCTATTCTTCGGAGGGGTAGCCTGATCGGAGGGAATATTTCTATAGGCGGTGTAAAACCATTCTCACTCATTCACTCACTCTTACACAGTATGAGGTAGCTCAATAACAAAGATAATTTTGCAACCAATAAATAGTTCAATGTACCTTAGAAACAGATCAGTTCAATGTACCTTAGAAACAGATCAGTTCAATGTACCTTAGAAACAGATGAGTTCAATGTAGCTTGTGCCCTTAAGATGTGGACCTAACTGATTGAGACATGAGCCTATAATCATCGTCGCCGAAATAGTGAGAAACATTTTGATAAGATTTCTTTATTTGGTCACACAAACATCCACGCGACATCCTTTAGCTGATTAAGAAATATCATTATAAGATGATGTTTTAATTCCCTTAACCATACGTATTTGAAACTGTGTATTACAGAGGAGCGTTTACATGAGTAACAACATCTCCATAAACTGCTCCTGGATATATTCATTTTCGTGTCCATCAATATGGATACACTTTAGGCATGCGAAATTAAATTTACATTCGCATTGATATCAATTCTTCAATTTGAAATTCAAATTACAATGAAGTATTTGGACTGCTTTCCACTAAATTAATCTCTTCGGGGGCCAAAGCACAATTTTACAGAATGTGCCTATTAAACTGTATTAATCTGTTGAACACACTGAGGAATGACATTTGTTGCCGAGAGTTGTAACCCGTATTTATCGAATCAATGTAAAGACGTAATAGCATTGCAATTGTAATGCAGACATCATGCATAGAGCAGTTTGCAGTTGCATGACTAATATACGCTACGCTATGTGTATACACTTTATGGACGTCATATTTGATGTCTCTGTTGATGACAAACGAATCATGATTGACAGACCATGTACAAGAAGGACGTCTTGTGTATATTCTATACAACTACACCATGTCACTACACTACGACATGCCTGTTCTATGAAACATGCTCTTCACAAGTTATTGTGTTGCAGCAGCGCTTGTAACATTGAATTACATTTTGCTTGCTTCTCCCTGTTTCAGATATTTCATTGTAGAATAAAGGTGCCAATAAACACTGAACTGACAGGGATAGTACACATAGAATATCACATGTGTATTAGCCCACGTTTCTATATTGAACTAGATTCAGTACTGAAAATGGGACAATTATTTAACTTTGATCTGACACACATAACTCTCATGTTTAAAGATAGCTCTTGTGTTCGGATTAAATGCAGTCCTTGGACATTCAGCGACAGGTCAGAATACAGAATGTAGTGACACTTGATTGTGGCTTGAATGGTATATGAATATTTATAAGTCTCTTTGTGTGCTTCAGTTGACTGTAAATGCCCGTTAGATTCAAACTAAATAAAATACTTAGGGAACACGAAAAATGTGCACGTGAGAGTCGATCTGATGTGATGGTTGTACAAGATGTCATACAACAGGAATGACTGGGGTTTTTTCTCTATTGACGACGTACTAACCATTAGTTTGTATGTCATTGCGTCATCTGTGTAGTCAAGGTGTCGACTGAGGGGTGTATAATGTCGTCCCTGTCTCTATGTTTGGAGTGGGCTGGGTCTTCTATACATCTATATGTCGCATCTGTGTTTGAGATATTTTATTGTCTGTTAATTCACGCATATGTGTTAAAGGTTACACTGATCAATACATAGATAGCAATAGAGGTAGCATGTAAGTTTACACGCAGCACACCGAGACGGCGAAGGCACAATGAGAGGAGAGGCACATATCAGTCACCTCTGAAAGGTATTTGATATTAAGCACAACTGACGTGATCAGAAAAGAAAAGTGGATGTGAATTTGGGCATCTTGGAGCGAAACTTGGTAAGTAGTCATACATGGTTATCCCTTTTGATATTTTAAAATAAATACAATACAGACCTTTTACTGATAGGTTGAACTTAACGCTGGTGAGAAGTATTTCAAGTTCGTTGTGGGATAGTCTGGGGCTGGGATGTTCGTGTGAAGATTCAGGTTACTCGAGCCTTGATGTATATGAAGGTCATTGTTGGTGTCATCCACTGTGACAGAACACTTTCATTTTGTGCTTACTCCATGAATTTGGATCTGCGTGTCAGTATTTGCACCATATAATCTATAAACTATATTAAAATGTATATGACCAGATAAGCTTCTCATTACATTCCTCTTATATGTAGTATGCTTGTTGTTCAAACAAGCTATATTCTGGCCAGTGGCCTGACAGACAAAACAGTGATTGATAGCATGAGCAACGCTACAGCCATTCACGCCATCCACTCTACCCACCCGACCAACTTGCACAATCGATTCTGATTCTAGCAGAGATTTCTTATGGATGTTGAAAGTGTTTGCCGTTTCTATCATGAGGACAAACATTGATAAAACCTTATACGTGGTGATCTGAAGTGTGATTTACCTACTGAAGAGTACACAGTGTCCGATGACAAAACGGTTTTTGTAACATTTGTGACTCTTGTGCTTATTCATCTTTCTTCACAACCGCCTTCGGAGAGCAGAAGGTGGCAGGTTCGATCCATACCAGAAGACGTAATTGTTGGTCCCTGCCTGGCGCTTGGCATTAATGGGTTCATCAAGGACTGGTCTGCTCGGAGTCAGTATAATGTGTGGTATTTGAGGGGCATGGTATCTCAGTGAGCTAGCACTATAAAACCAGTTCAAGTCTGGGCAGCCACACATACACACGCATGCACGTCGTGAAATGAGCGAAATATTCTTAAGTGCGACGTTAGACCTCACCTCACCTCACCTCACCATTACCTCACCTCACCTCACCTCACCATTACACAGTTACAGTTATTAATACAGATCACCTTATTTCAGGTGACCATCATGAATTCTCAATACGGGGAAAAGTGGATATTTGTGATAGTTGCTTTTATTTCCAGTAAGTACTTTTGATGGTTTCTTGTACATATAGTTGTGATTGCTTCTAGTAAGTACTTTTGACTGATTCATGTACTTACAGTAACCTTTGTATCAATTGTATTGTGTGAGTGCATATCGTAGATACCTCTATGAGAGTTATGCTGTCATTTATCATGTGGGTTATCATCAGGATGTGTTGCGGAGAGATTTTGTGTATGTGTTAGATTATAGCCAAATATATACATAGTCTTGGATGTTCATATACCAGTACACTGTTTTTTTCTTTGACAAACGCACATCCTATACTCTAGGTGTTTCCGTATACGGTGAAGAAGAATGTGAGCCAGGGAGATATGGAGACGGATGTCATCTTGACTGTCCTCCAAACTGTCATATTCGTCCACAGAACTCCCTGCACTGTGACAAAGAAAACGGACGATGCTATGAAGGATGCAATGTGGGTTTCTATGGAGATCAGTGTGATCAAGCCTGTAGCACCAAGTGCAAGCAACACACCTGTACACAAGTCAACGGGCACTGCACTTGGGGCTGCATTGATAATCACATCGGGGACTTTTGTGAGATTAACCCAGGTATTATGACGACAACGCACAAGACGAACATACTATTACACAGCTAACGATAAGTTAAATGTTAACGTAATGCGAACAATAAATAAGTTGTGAATTTCATTTTCACTGCCATCGTATTATAATTTTGAAAAGTATAGATAAGGTAAAGTTAAATAGGAATAGAACGTGCATAACTATAAGGTGTGGATCAGATATATTGCAACTGGTTAACTGCCATCAAAACTTTTCTGTACAGCGCCACCTTTAGCTTTTTCCCATGTTGATCTTCAGTAACACATGCTTGTCGTAAGAGGTGACTAACGGGATCTGGTGGTCAGGCTCACTGACTTGGTTGGAACATGTCACCTTATCCCATTTGCGTAGATCGATGCTCATGCTGTTGATCACTGAATTGTCTGGTCCAGAGTCGATTATCTACAGACCGCCACCATATAGCTGGAAAATCTCTTAGTGCCGCGTAAAACGAAACTCACTCACTCACTCCCATGTACACATTCTCTGACTCTGATCCTCATGTGCAGGTAAAACCAATGTCGGTCCTACCATCGATAATAATACAACCCTTACCACGACAACCCTTACCACGACACTGGCACAGACAGACAGTACAAGCTCTGAGAATGATATCCAAGTCATCATACCAGTTGTTATCGTCGCATTACTTGTCATTGTTGGCTCTGTCAGCATAGTCGTTATCCTAATAAGGTAGGTGCTGCTGTCACAAACAATTAAAAAAAGTCCATAATTTGATATGATTCAAAATATGATTTTCAAAAGAGAATGTTCCATGTAAACTAGTGCATCTGATTAAATAAATTGAAAGTAAGATTTGCTACTACAACCATGATATTGTACTACATATTCATATGATTCATATGTATACGATATAGCATTTGGCAGTTATTGTATTGTTATTTCTTCTAACACATTTGAATTCCTGAGCAAACCGCACTGCTTAAATCACGCATAAATACATTTAGGAGTATTTTATGCATTTGCAGCCAATAATGCTTAACCGGTATAATGTGGTTTAAACATATGACATTGATCATCCTCCATGTTTTTATATACATGCAAGGACGTGTTTGAATGGAATAATCCAACCCAAGACCTGGCATCACATATATTGCTCAGCAACATGGCAGTAATTGTGCTGCCAGGTGACCACTTACACATAAGTAAAACGTTTCTGGTCATCTGGTTCAATATGACTTATCCCCATTTGTAATGTAGCACACTTATTCAATTCCTAAATAGAGATTCTCCGAGCTTGTGGCGTGTAATAACCAGTTCATACATTGTGCAATCCTTGGAGTGATTACTACGATCTCTTGCTGAACGTTACACCAAGACACAATGAAGTGTCAATATCCAATAGAGATCCCTCGTTTAACTCTAGCTTTGTTATTTACAGACGTAGAAAGAAGGGTAAGTATTGCATAAAAGGCTCGGAACAGTTTATAAATCAACACAATCAGCCACGAGAATGTCTTGTGTATGCTCGTCGTGGCTTTTGTTTAGTCTATATTACAATTCTACATGTGAATAAAAATGACCTGCTTCAAGCTAAATGTGCATAGAATATCTGGTTTCCTTTCATGTCTCTTCAGGTATGGATGATGCGGAAGTTGGGCAGAGATTAATCTCAGGTACGAAAAAAGGCGTTATCAATATCATTATCAAACTCCGCTTCTATTTCTACTCCACCTATGGTATCTATTACAATGCCAATCTTCTTTCCATAATAAATTTCGGCTTCGTTGTTTGCGTTTTCCACACAACACCAATCACCACCCCAAAAACGACGTTTATCATCAGTTTAAATATCCGTTAGCAATTCTGTGTATAATATGAATATTTACAAAAGATGTCTATGGTTTCCAACAGCTGGACAACTATTCATAGTTTTATATGCTTCTTTTTACTTTATTATACAATTATTTCTGAATATTTTTGAAGCTTGTTGTTTCTTTCAGCTACAAATCTGGATGACAGTCGCCAAGAAGACAACATCCTGCATAAAGCCTGCAGAAAAGGGACCCTCGCTCAAGTCAGACAAATTTTATCTCATGAACTGGTGGACATAAACAGCAGAGGAAGGTGTGGCTGGACACCAGTCAGGATAGCAGCTGAGGGGGGACGCCGGGAACTAGTTGACCTTCTTGTGAGACAAGGGTGCGACTTGTCACTGACAGATGATGACGGTAACACTGTCCTTCACGTGGCTTCTATCAAAGGACATTTGAAGATAGTGAGATATATTCTGTCAAAGAAAACAGTTGATGTAAACATTACAGGACACTGTAACAGGACAGCAGTGATGGCGGCAGCAAGGTTTGGACATCGGAAAGTGTTTGACGTACTTGTGAGGAACGGAAGTAATCTTTCAACTGTTGATTCAGATGCAAACAACATCCTTCACATCGCCTGTATTGGAGGACATGTGAAGATAGTGAAATATATCCTCACCAATGTCCAAGTTGACATTAACAGCAAGGGGTACAACGGGATGACACCTGTGATGCTTGCTTCAAACTTTGGGCACCAAAGTGTCTTTCAGCTTCTCATCAAGAAGAAATGCGTCTTGCGAATAATAAATGAAAACGGTATGAATATCCTTCATGTCGCATGTGCAGGAAACAATGTTGAAATTGTTAAGTATATCCTCAAAGAAAACATTGCTTCTATTAACAGTAGAGACAATACTGGAAAGACACCAGTCATGCTTGCAGCAGAGTGTGGACATACAGACGTTTTTAAGCTGCTTCTAAATAACCAGTGTGACACACAAGTCTATGAAGATGGAAACACCATCCTTCATACAAGTTGTGCCCTGGGCCATGTGGACATAGTAAAGTGTATTCTGACACAGGGTCTTATTCATATTGACAGTTGTGGACAAAACCAGATGACACCTGTAATGCTTGCAGCAAAGAATGGACAAAGAAACACATTTGATTTACTTGTGAATAACAAATGTGACATGAAAAAATGTGACACAAACGGAAACACCGTCCTTCACATGGCCTGTATGGGAGGAAATGAGGACATTGTTCAAGCTGTCCTGTCAAAGAAACTTGTTGACATCAATAATAGAGGACAGTCTCAGAGGACGCCAGCAATGGTGGCGGCCGCATGTGGACACAAGGACGTGTTTGACTTAATCGAAAGGAGTGGAGCCGACCTGACTCTTACTGACTGTAATGGTTTTGGAGTCCTCCAACTGATCTGCATGTACGGACACTTACACCTGGTGGAACATCTTAAAAAAAAGATTGCAGTTAGTTAATTTGGTCAATTTGAACAGTACAGTGCATGAAAAGTCTGTTGAGGTGTGGTATCAGCATATAACACAAAGTTGCGACTTGCATGCTCCAGTGTTCTTTCAAAGAAATCATCATACAGGAATCATGAACACGGTGCTTGATAGTTGTAGTGACCAGTGGTAGTTTGAGCAGTAATGACCAAATGAAAACTTAATGTGCCAACAATATATATGATGCGCTGTAGTATGTTCAACGTGAGCTGTTTTTTTGTTTTTTTCAAGTCACTTACAAATCTAGACATAATACAGTCTCAGTAGTAGTTAAGTCCACTTGTACAACGTACATTTCCGATCATTAAAAATCCGCAATTCTGCACATAATAAACGCATTGTTAGATGGAGTATTAGTAGATGGTCACTTGAGGTTTCTTCAAAGCCTGCAATAGCATACTTACGCCCTGCGTCAGGAAACAAACAAACACGTATGTTCCACGCAAATTGTTACACAGGCGTGTTCGGGAAGGACAAGGTTGCCAATATCGCCAACACTGACTTTCAATGAACCAGTGATTTCACTTCCACAGTTAGCTTGCATTTTAGGGCAAAAGAAATCTGTTCTGGTCTGGTTCTACAGTCAATAATTCTTGTGTATTCTTATGTCATACAACCTACAGGAAGTACCTGTTCTGTTCTCTCTATCACTCAAGCCATCATAATGGACAAAGCACCCCCCGGACACCGGGTGTTCGGTGATGGATCCCAAGCCGTGTCATTACCAAAAGACCTTAATACAGCAACTGTTGTTTCCCTGCCTGGCGCTCGGCCAAGATTCAGTATCAATGTTAAACTGGGGCATGGTATCTCAGTGGAACTAGCGCTATAACCGGAATTAGTCAGGACAAGTACAAGCAGTCACATACATGTGTATTCTTTATGAATTAACCCAATTTCACCTCAACTCATTTGTAGGCCAAAAGAACATTTTCAATAACACTGCTACAACGTGCGTGTTAACAATAATTTTGTCATGACCGATTTGCAACTATATTCACAGATTGGATTTCAAATGGAGTTTACTAATTTGTGTATGTTTCAGTAGTTCAACCATGCGTAATAGTAATGTTTATCGGGGCGGTGGGGTAGCCTGGTGGTTAAAGCGTTCGCTCGTCACGCCGAAGGCCCGGGTTCGATTCCCCACATGTGTATAATTTGTGAAGCCCATTTCTGGTGTCCCCCGCCGTGATATTGCTGGAATATTGCTAAAAACGCCGTAACACCATACTCAGACAATCAGTCAGTACTGTTTATCATCACTTCTGCGAAGGTAGCCATCATTCACTCGTTTGAAATAAAAGTACATGTGTTTCATATAAAAATGTAAATATTTAGGTTTTACGTTATATTTATAACAACATCTCTTTAGTCTTTATCACGAAGTTTCAGAGCTAATTCTAATCTAGGCGAAGGGACGGGAACTAGCTTTCAAACATCGTAATAAAGAATAAAAATAAATTGTCGTCCATAAAACATCTCTTCTATTTATCATGGCACAAATACAGTAAGGCGCATGCGACGCACTTAAGACACCAGGGGGTGATGGGCAAATATTGGCCCAGTTGAGCTAGCGTTACTGTTTGATCCTGATCGGGTCAGTGGCGTCTCTCCACCAACACATTCTACGAAGACAGGCCACGGCAGTAGAGCAGTGTTATCCTGTCCAAAGTAGGTTACAGCAGCATGGGCGCGGGCATTATCATGCTACAACGTTGTTCTGTATAATCATTTGCACTAAGCGACGAACATGATCTTGAACGATGTCACACATTTTGTTTACGCCTGCTGCCCCATTCATGAAATTGCCTTGACCGATCAATGTAGACTGCAATGGGCACGAACTGTACGTCGGTGGCACTTTACAGATGAAAGTCAGTTCGGTCGGTTCAGAAACGATGGCAGTGTTCGAGGTTTTCGAGGAGAGCGACTGGGTTCAAGAAGTTCAAGAAATTTATCCGTTCGATGGAGGAGGCGTCATGTTATTGGGCGGCATTTGTGGCCGGAGAGCAACAAGACTACCATCCGCGGAAATCTGAATGCCCAGCGATACATGATGAAGTGTTGAGACCTCTTTTGGTGCCTTTTATTCGACAACAGTTAAGAGAAGGAATTTTTCAGCACGACAACGCAAGACAGGATTTTTAAATATTATGCACAACGTGAACGTTAGTTTAACGTATTGCATTGGTCGTGTTCTCCAGACATGAACCCCAATGAACATCTCTGGGATTATCTTGATCGTTAACTGAGACCGCATGTACCACCAGCGAACCGACAGACGACGACAATGACGAGACGTCTCTTGACGTGTGTGGATGCCCGAGGTGGTCCAACTCGCTACACATGACGTGTCCACTGACTTTTGTTTCATTATGATATTTTTTTATTCAACTCTGATTTTTATAATTTTTATTTTTGACCCCTTGACTTTTTCTTAATTAACTGCAGCAAGTGTAAGACCAGCATTAAAATGAATTTTCTGTCAAATTAATGGAAATTATTTCTGTTTGCGAAATGGTTATTCGCCATGGTTTCAATTCTTTGATCAAGTGAAGTCGGTGATAACTTTCTTTTGCCGGTAGTTTATGTTAATTCAAAAAATTCAGTTTATCATTTTCTTTCCAATACATTTCTCGAAATGCAAATGTACTGGTATGTACCGGAAGTTTCACCTCGTGGAATTTTGCCCTTAAACCTGAAACAATAATTTTGTTTATTAACGTTTATGTGTCCTGATTTCCCTGTTTTTTCTTTTCAGGACAGTAGTCTCTTTTGTGACTTCAAGTGCTCATGTGAGAGGGTAGTTACTCTCGAGTTACCCACACCTGTTGTGGATCTTTGAGTGCTTTTCCAACCATATTTAATGCTATAACTGTTTTGATGCTGATGCTGATCCTGACGTGGATGCTACTGGGGTTGATGATGGATCTGGTCAGTGTCGCTGATATGTTGCTGGCAATATATTGTTGTATGAGGACCGTTTGATGGATACATGTTTAGTAAGGAATTATGTAAAGTCTGAACAAGAACCTTTGAGGTCCTCTAATGCGTGGTATTCATTTGCAATGCTGACAATGAAGAACTTGGTGCATCACAATTTTCCAAGCACAATGAACAACGAAACATAAGTGTATGTTTTAAGATGTGTTTTATATGTTTTATGCTTTAAGAGAAATTTGAGATTACAAGAAAAATAAAACAAAAAAGCAGCAAGTAAATGAAATCTCTAAAAGCTGCTGGAGCGTTGGATGTAAGAGGTTGGAGACCATAACTACAAAGTGTACTATTACTGCAGCTGCTAGATTCAGAGGAAACGATTGCGGAAGAAGTTTATCCTAAAAACCAGTGAAATGACCTGTGAAAATGTTCGATTCAAAATGGCCGTCACATCACATAACATATTACGACCATGAACAGAAGATCATCAGCAATCAGTACGATGCAGCTTATGCTTTACATTTCTACTTTAAATACGAGAAACATCATACACAGGTCATGCGAAATGTTTTATGACAACTGATGTTGGCTCAGAAGAATGTCTCAATATAGCGGCCATCCAAGACATATCTGGACATTGTTTGGTTGGTTAGTTTGAACAGTTCCAATGGTGTGGAGATTGCTTTCAGTGAATTATTTATGAAGTATCTGCAATTTCGTCATTTCACATTATATCAATTGCTGATGACATTTGGAAGGATTTTGGTAGTCAGTTGTAGAATTGTACTTGTGACGTATTTAAAAAATGTAGGGCCAGACTAATCTGCATAAAACTTTTTGTATCAAATGATATGTGTGGTGTTATTGAAATAAACATTGAATCCTTTGTGCTATATTTATCTCTTTAAAGTTCCCAGCTTATGAAAACACATGGACATAAATCAAATTGGAGACACGCATAACGAACTTTCCAGGAGTAAACGAAGTAGAGGCGACTAACGGGGTCGGGAGGTCAGGCCGCTGACTTGGTTGACACATGTTCCCAATTGCGCAGATCGATGCTCCTGTTGTTGATCACTGGATTGTTTGGTCCAGACTCGGTTAGTTACAGATCGCCGCTATATAGCTGGAATATTGCTGAGTGCGGCGTAAAACGCAACTCACTCCCTCACTCACTTAAAGGACAATCAATTTTTTCAGGAGGGAAATATTATATGAAAACAGAAATTATCGAAGAGAGTGCACTTTATATAGTAATATATTGTATATATATAAACAGTAATGCAGACAAATGTTATAAAATACGCTGTAAAACGATACTGTCTGTACAACAAATGAACAAATAACTTCAAGGTAGCTTTCATTCCCCCTTATCCATCTTGTTTCAAGGAAAAACTAAATAATCGCGTTTTACTGATACAGATTCTAATATCAAGTACATGGGCGCAAAATCATTTATTGCACGCCTCGTGTTGTATGCAAAGCCGAAATGTCCATTGTAATTACAAGAATAATAATTCACGTTCCGAAATGGAAACTTTGAACATTATATCTATTGCAATATTATGCGAGTCTGTAGACATAACCTAATCTAATGTTTATTTTCCAATGTTTCAAGAAACTGTTATATGTATCCTAAAGTTCCAGTGTTCACATACTGTAGGTCTCACATTTGGGAAATAGAAACAAACCCAAAACAATAAGCATACAAAACACAAAACAACATAAACAAATATAGTGATATGAAATAAAAGGTGGTGCCTTACTACTCTTAGTAGTACACAACACGAACGTGCATTTGAGTGATAGAAACAAGCGTCAAGCTATATACAAAAGTTCCATTTCACCACATCATTGAATGACGACAGACGCCAGGTTCAGTTTAATGGTCATCATATCATTGCACCCCTTTGTTCATCAGATGATATCAAGACGATAAGGATCTGACATTTGAAAGTCAAACAAAACGAACTGGCCTTAAACTTGAACGCTGCTTATAAAACTAAGTTTCGTCATGGGGTATATACTTTCAAATTTATGAGTCAGTCCCAGTTTCCCTTTGGCTGCTATCTTCAGTTGGTGTGATGTATGTAACAACGGTTCTCGGCTCATCCACAAAAACGTCTCTAAGTGAGTGAGTGTATGACTGGTAACCACTCGCTGAACTGCGTGAAATGTCATCACTGTTGTCTCCAGTGTTCAGTGCATCTGGGAAGTTATCCGCCAAAACAGGAAGTGCTGAAGCACCACAATTGTCCTCAGTATTATGTTTCCCGGGAATGTAATCAACTGAAACAGGATCTGCTTCCTCTGCTCGTCCTTGTTGCTGTCCTTGCGGCTGAGACACTTCATCGTAATCTTCTTCCTCTGCCCGTCTTTGTTGCTGTCCTTGCGGGTGAGATGCTTCATCGTAATCGTCTATTTCCCAGTATCGATGTAATGTGTAATATTCTAATCTCTCCTCTTGCCTTGATCCCTCTGTGTGCATCGACTCAACTCCGTCCTGGGCCCTGGAAATGTACACGTGAGTGTTATATGTGGTTAGTACTTTCACTACAGTGTTTCGGGTACATGTTATGATCTGTAGACATGCGCTAATTAGTTCTTTTTCTCTCAAAATCAGCTTATGGAAACATTTAATACATTAGTTCACATGGTAGAGCCGTACAGGCAAACTCTCATTTGACTCGTAATTTGAACAGCTGTTGAAACCATGATAATGCAAGTGGAAACTGTTCAACGTTGAACATAGTCCCTTTCTATTCGATATTACAGTTGGACTTTTGCGCCAAATGCCAGTTAGGTTTTGCACAAACCTGTTTGCTGCGGGTCTTTTGCAATGGACAAATAGAATTGTAACAACGATTCCGCAGATCAAAATCACCAATGAAGTTGATGTTCCAATTATTGCACCAGTGATGGAACTCTGGTCTGAAACTATAAAAACAACAACCCAAAAACAAAACAAATTAAGAAGAACGAAATGCTTTTCATCCATTCATGATACCGACCGAATCCGTGCTCGCATTATTATAGAGCTAATAATAAACTGTGTGCATTCCACTCTCATCACAGATGGTACTCTAGGGTTGGTTATATAACTGCAGCGTCTCAAGTAGGAAAGGGTATCCACAAACCCCACAGCTATAGCATCACATATAAAGGGCACTCAATGATCTGCAATCTCGGGGTTGTGGATAGGGGAGTATCCAATCACATGAGCACTTGACGTTACAAAAGTGACCACTCTCTTAAAATAAAACTCCGGAGTTTTTCCCCTGATTATGCATAATTCATAGCTCTCATCATGGATGTAATGCAACAGGCACCCGCCACTCAAACGAATTGCACACAGAATATTTGCGTTTGGTTCCGGGCACCATAATCCCTTAATGGAGCAACGACCCAAAACACCCAGCCATGTGATAGTACATTTACTGAATTTCTTGAAATACAGACTGACAGTAAATTTCGAATGACTTCTCCTGTGAACCGGTGTGGAGATTCTGCAGCTCGTCTTCAAGTCTGCGAACAGGAATCTTGAAGGGGATTGGATCAAGATGTATATATATATATTTTTTAATATTCTAATTATACCTTCACCTCCGGCACAAATCCCAGTACTTTGATGACAGGCGCCTCCCGGACAATGGGTGCAGGATTCCTTACATAACTGTCCATGATATCCACGGAAACATCCAGTGTCACAGGAACCGTTTGTGGGGTGACATGTGTGATTGAAACAGGTTTCAGAACAAGGCTTACAGTCATCTCCATAGTAACCAGGTAAACATCCCTCAACACAAGAAACAGTTTCATTGCAACCCATACAATTCGGGTTGCACTTTACTTTAGACGAACAGCTAGGCCCAAACCCATCCACACAGCCATTGATACACTCTCCGCTCTGTCTGTGACATTCAGAAATGCAGACGTTGGAACTGGTACTTGTCAAACTGTTATTGGCAGCAGGGTAAGCTTGGCAGTTCTTGCTGCATCTCTTGGAGCATTTGTGTCCATATAGTCCAGGTGCGCACGTCTGTACACAGTCAATTGTTGAACAGTTTTCACACGAAAATTGACAGTCTTGGCCTGAATACGGATCAAGGCACTCATCGCATCTGCCTGTTATCCTGTTGCAAGACCGACATCTGTGTGAACACATCTTGCAGTTTGACCCATAGTATAAGTCGGGGCACCCAGGAACACACGGTGAGTTAAGATGACAGAATTGCCCATCACATCCTTGGGGACATTTCGTACAGTTTCCTGATGGACTTGGACACGGGATATTGCATTGGGTACCGTAGAAACCAGGAACACAACCTTGAGAGCATATTGGAACGCCATTTAGATCTTGACTACATTTCCTGTGTTTGCAATTCTTACTGCAGCGTGATTTGCATTTGAGGTCGAAATACCCAGGGTGGCAATCTGTGAAGCAGTATTTTGTTGAACTGGAACAGTTTGAACAGTGCTGCCCATCCAAGCAAATGTCCGCTGTAACAAATAGGATTAAATGTGATCGTGAATGACATGACCATCGAAATGTAACGGCAATGCAATTTCCGAGTCACGTCCTAGGATTCAAACCAACCACCGTCTTATCCGAAGTCGGATGCCTTGTCCACATGACCAAAGGGGTTAACCTCGTTATCACTTTCACGGCAGTGACATGTACGTATACTACGCCATCAGTATATCGTCGCCTGAAAACCAGAGTGTTCTAAGTCCACTTTTGACAAAATTAGAGTTAGTATGCTCAGGGTAGATTTTAGAGCATAATCTGTTACTCTAGCAACTGTTTACAGTGCTATCCAGCTTTGAAAGTGTTTTTTCAAACAGAAACTTCGTTCTATCTCCATGAAAATCACATGTTGTTAATTTTCGAGTGTTCTAAGTTGTCAATTGACCAATGGGCAAGCACAATTTGATCACGTGACATTGAGATTTACCAATTTTGAAGTGATTGTGATCATTGAAATGGAACATTTTAACTCTGTTCTTATTTCTGCTATATCTAATTAAATATAGTGAAAGAAAAACAGGTTTAAACGACAAAACTACAACCTGGTAAAAAGGAAATAACAATCAAATATCGATATAATAATAACAAAACTGAGTTTTAGCTGTGTTTTTTGACACTTAGAACACTTTGGTTTTGAGAAAAATCACCATTTTCTTTGGTCAAGTGTTCTATCTCCAATCATTTTTCGTGAATTTCTTATTTATTTCAATAGATTGAGCATATAATTTGATATCTTCTGATCCTGTTTAACATGCCACATGCCTGTGCAAAATTTGAAAGAATTCGATTGAAAAGTGAAGAAGATATTGTTGTCCTAAACTTCAAGATCGAATTTCTCGAAAATAGGTTTTTGTGACTTAGTACACTCTGGTTTTCAGGCGACGAAATGATACACGATGAAGCATTATCTTGTGTTCTTATAACAAAATACCAATTGTAATTCTACAGTTACCTTGTGTTGACAAAAGCGTCAGCGCTGCAGTCAGGGCCACCTGAATGTCCATCGCTTTCCTGAAATGGCCATAAATCATACATTAAAGTTAATCTAAAACATGTATTAAATTCCTTTGTTTATCCTAAGTTAAGTGATATAAGTTAACTGCTTAATAACAATACAATAAAGTTGGGAATGATGGGGTTTTGTTCAAATATATAACTTACCTATCCTCAGAAATACGCGTCAGCTGTAGGATCAGTTGCGGGAGGGGAGACTAATGAAAACATGAGTGTCTGGCTTTGCCTGCAGCATTGAACTATCACACTAAACGAAGGTCAGAGTTCATAGAAACAGTTTCAACTTCCCAACTACACCCTCTGTGCGCTATGTGAATACTCAGGGAAAATGTTGATGTCACGGACATCTCTCATAAATTATACCTCAGATGTAGTCTCATTCCAGTGACACCTTAATTCACGGTCGCCAGAGACGTTTCTTTCCTTTAATATTTCAAAATGACAAACTAAGTTTTACCAGTGATATTATGGTAGTTATACAGTCCTTAAGTATAACTATATTTATTATTAATGTAATGCTTTCTTTCGGCACAACATGGTTGTATATCGTACACAAGCGCATTCGTTCACAGAGATGACTGCATCTCACTTTAAATACAAAAACATTAATTACGTTAGGCTCAGGGGGGTCCTCCTCATGAGGCGTTCCTGTGGATCGGATGTTAATTACATTATCATCATTGCACAACAACACTGGACGATGGTTATGTTCACACTGTCCAGGATAGGAACATACGGGTACTTCATTTGCGAATCGAATTGTCACAGCAGCATTTTGAGTTATTCGTTATCGTTTACGAGAAGCTGTACTTCGAGATGGAATTGTGGCCCTGATTACGTGGACGTCGACGGATCCAGCTAAGAAATGCCAATGATCCAGTGGTGTGATAACGTTCGATTCCGGAATCTACAAAACTGTATGGTTCAATGACAATTTTGTTTTGCCCAGAAACGTGTCGCCAAGGTTGACCAATGTGGTGCTGGGAGTGTCATGCTGTTGGGACCTAAATCCCATACGCAGTGTGTTTGTGCGCGCGCGTGTGTGTGTGGCGTTTGGATGGATTGAAGTGTGGGTGTGTATATACATGGTACTGTCTGTGTGTATGTATGTGTGTGTATGTGTGTATATGTATGTGTATGTCTATGTGCGAGTGTATGTGTGTGTCTATGTGCGAGTGTATGTGGGTATGTGTGCATATGTGTGTAAAGGCTGGATATTTTGTCCTAGTCTTTTGCACAAGTAACTCAATATCCTGACCTTTACCAGCTATCTGATAGGGTTCTGGGGCTCAAGGCACTGGTGCCATGGTCTCCATAGCAACAGTTTTTTAGCCAATCCCCAGGGGCTATGTTGTCACATGACAGGGGCAAGAGGGAGCGTGGGACGCCCAAGCCTGAAATCTTCCTCTTTCTGCCTGCACTGTCGAGGTGACAACAAGCCAACTTGTTTTTTAGGTAAGAACCCCAGTTTGCTTCCATATGGCAACTGGGTCTTCTGTATTAAATTCCAATGCATAGTTATGTTGTTAGCAGGATAAGTAATTATCTGCGGCTTTTAAATTAATGCATTATTTAATTTGATAAATCACAATTAAAATAATTGTTGGGTCACTGTCATCAATTATTCTTGCTGTGCCAAACTGGCGAAAGGTCACTCATCTGTGACTGTCCAAACGATGCACTCGATGGCAGAATAAATGACATGTACTCATTGTAATATATTTTCATCTAAAATTCATTTTAGTAAAGTACTTTGTGTGTTTAGCATTAATTTGCTTATTTGACCTACCAGTCAAATCTGTCTCTAGCTCATTGCTCAATTCAAAATTCCATTTATTTACAACTTGTTGCTGCTAACAACAGAACTCTTTTGCCATTTTAATCTAAATTAAAAAGTGGCTGTATCACTGTCCCGGTTTCCAAACCATGTGCTCAGTTAGAGTATCACGGTGTCAGCTGGAACCAATTAGTGGCGGTCATGCTCACTGACCAGTGCTGACCTCTCCACTGAGCAGCACACAGCCTGGGCTGTCTTCGGCTCTCCTCGGCATTCTCCGGCTCCCGTCCGGCTCCATTACAAAATGGCTGCACCGGATGTAAACAAAACTAGGGTCCGTCGTCTGCTTCATGGTTTTCTTAACATAGCATTGACTACCGGTACCATGCAACTATATCAATCATATTTTAGTATGTTTCCCCACTTGATGTGAAAGTGAAGTCACAGTTTATCCAATAATAATATAATGTATTATATTATATGGCCAATAATACACCTACAAATTGTAGTAATATAAATCATGTAATATCCGTTTATTACATATTATCAATTTATTTACTATAATTAGGTGTTTATCCTGGGTAGCCCCAAGTGGTGTACCTACTGGGTGTATTGACATTCTGTTGGAGCTAGCCTCATATTGACTAGTATGATCATCCAACAGGCAGTCATACCCCATTTCCTTTAGCCACATGTGTCGTACAGGCCAGGTGTCCTGTCGTGGTTATTGTTTATATCAATCAAACCGGTTTTCATATATTCCAAATGTGTTGGGTATAGATATTGCCCCACTTTGTGTATATATATGTATTTTTATACTTCCCATTGGCCATTAAAGTTATTGTGACTTTCACCTCACCTCAGGTGGGGCCCCATGTAAATCCTCTGATAGGAGGGGTGTGACGATTCTTTTGGGTCATATAATTAAAGTTATTTATGTAAATACTCTTTGGGGTTGTGTGCTCATATATGCACACATACTTTTGTTCCAATATTGTGTTTATATATTCTCTAATAATATTGTTTCCCCTAATAAGTATTGTCGTCACATCCTATATATCAGTGGGATTATTATTTATTTTTTCATTATTGTATCTGTAAAATGGCTCTTTCTGCCTGCACTGTCGAGGTGACAACAAGCCAGCTTGTTTTTTAGGTTTCACCTGGACTGTGCAGTCGGAACTTGCACCTCTGTAAACCAAGACCCTTTTATTTCAATACATATTATTACTGTCTTTTTGTGTTGTGTCATCTTTGACTGGAGCACTTCGCGCAATAGACACACTTGCCCATCCCTTTTACCGTGAGACGTAATTGTTACGCAACCACCGCAATTACCCAAGTCTTACATGTGTATGTGTATGTGTGTGTGTATGTGCGAGTGTATGTGGGTATGTGTGTATATGTATGTGTATGTGTGTGTCCATGTGCGAGTGTATGTGGGTATGTGTGCATATATGTGTATATGTATGAGTATGTGTGTGTCCATGTGCGAGTGTATGTGGGTATATGTGCACATATGTGTTCCTGCGATAGGAGTAGAACAAATATCTGAATATTATCATGACAAATTATTTGCTGAAAGCAGATTCCATTTTAAAGTTCGATTATATCATTATTGTGTGTTTACGAATCACTATTACGAATCATATTTAGGAATGCTCCTTAATGGTGATGTGGGACAGATCAGAAATACGCTACCAGAGGGGAGAATTATAGAATTTAAGTGGTGTTCATGCGTTCAGGCGTGTAACTATACAGTGAATTCCGGTCATAGATATGACGAACATATCGAACATAGGGCTCCCTACTCTTTGAACTGTCCCATTCATCATTTTGACCTGGAAATACCTACCCAGCGAGAATATTTGAAATTTGAGTCACATCGTGTGGTCTAACTCTTCGATGTATTACTCATAACGTGTTTAAAGTGTGAGTCCATGTTTACATCACCCGACCTATCAACATATGAGTTTTTAGTGTATGAATCAACAACATCTGGGGGTTAGCATCACCGTGTTTCATATTCCTTTTACGGCTACGAGTGTTACTGTGTCCTGCTATTGCGGATGTAATGACTGGTAGTTGAATACGCCCCATGTTAAAATTCATTGATATATGCTGCACGAAGCCAATTATATTATTACGTTTTCATTTCTATTTT